GGAGCACATTCATCAAAACGACACGTGGAACGCCGAAAGTTTAGAGTGATTTCTTTTTTTTTTTTTCTAAGAAACATTGCCAGGTTATGGTTTAAAATAAAAGAGCATATCTTTGTCTTTGATACTATTATCTATTGCATATTGTCTTTGGTTTTGTTTTAAAGGAAAAAGTAGTTTTTTCATAAGGCAGTACTTCTGATATTATCTGATCTAATTAGCCCCGTACTAGAGCGGGCGTAAGGTAGGTATTGTATGATCTGATTAGATTGTTAGCCGAGCGAAAGGGTTAAATATCAAATACATCACTGTAATGTTCCTGTAAAACTAACCCAATTTTTCAGAAAAGGTATCGATATGAACTCATTATATCTTATATTCTATTATACCTTATTACGTGCCAAGCTTCAACTATGTTATGGTTGTAACACGAATGAGTCAGCTTGAATGGGGAAGAATTACGCTCTCACAGACTAACAGCGCAAAATACCAGCTTAATGATGCTCTGTTTCTTACAGTGAGCGTAGAGAATCAGACCCTTTTTACTGGAAACAAGGAATTTCATGGGGTAGGGGTGACAAGCGGTGTCTGCATTTTGGTTCTTTATATATTATATTATTAATTTAGGTGTCTATGAGCTTCAGCATGCACTTGCCGATTGCACTTTGCTATTGGAATGTGTGCTCCTTTGTCACCTTTATTCTATAAAAATACATATTCTTAGAATAGAAAATATATTTGCTTAAAAACATGGTACATAAGATGGTCAATGACGTGGAACTGATTAATAATGATTGATATTAATCCAGTACATAATAAATCAGCATATTAGTTGATTTGAATTCTACATACTAATTGAATTGAATTAAAATTAACAACTATTCATAAAAACGTGAATAAACTTTTTTTTGTGGCTACTTAGAGAGTTATACCTTAACAATAAGGTATTTTACATAAATATTTCATATTGGGACGCTGTAATTTCGTTGTCTGGTACGATTTGGCCATCCTCCTTTTGTTTTCACTGAGCCGCAAGCCATGCAGTGGAAATGCTACATTTTTGCACTGTGTACACTGCAGCACTGCGCCAGCTCCAAAAGCATTCTAATAGCATATTGCATAATATATATTATATCATTTATTTATTATTTTATCATAAGGCACAAGTTAAAATTCAAAATCATTCATTAAAAAAGGAGAATCCAATACAATTTGATCTATGCCGTCATTGTTTAATTTGATCTCTATATGCATACCTGATTGTCGTACTTTTTTCAGGTACATTGATTACAAGAAAGGTGTACAGATGTGAAAATAAAAAAATAATTAACAAAATCATGATTTTAAAAAGCAAAATTAAAAAACAAAAATGTCAAATAAAAGCAGCAATGAAAATGGCGAAGACAAAAATTGTTTCCATATCTTTTTTAACTTCCTTAAATCTCATTGTAATAAGTAAAACTTTGTTTCACAGCATATATGTTCTGAATAATGTTTTAGACACTTTTTATAAAATCTTTGATTAAAGGAATTAAATAAAATCAAACAAAAGTGACTAACTTCAGTCAGTCAGTCAGTAATATCTGCAGTATCTTTGCTCTCTTGGGGTAATTAATAATGTTTTGAAAATAAAATCAAAACAAAGTTGTTACAGACAAATATTTCTTTTACATTAAATTATCAGTTGTAAAAACTTATTTGCACAAATCTAATACCATGTAATACACGTTGGTTAAATTTCATACTTTACTCTTAATTTTAGGTATTTTATCAGGTTACACTGAGGTATCTTGTCAGCTTACTTATCCATCATCCAGTAGTTCATTTTCTCCCGCATCAATATCTAAGAGTAGTAATTAATTTTAAATGCTCCCATTTAGCAGTCTACTATGTCATGCATATAAATCTTAATTATTTTGAAATAAAATTTCCCCTTTCGATAAGTGTAGGATCAAACATAGAGAATTATTTCTAGTTTTAAATTTCATAAGCATTCTTGCTGTTTTTTGTCCTATTAACTTAATTATTGCTTACTTTGGTATTAATTGTAAATTAATCATAGACAACATTTAATCATGTTTGTTATAAATCTTTTATTATATATATTTTTTTAATTACTGCCATCGTAGCATTTTTGCAAAAATCTAAAACAAATTGATAGCTTAATATGAGCTTTATCTCCTTTATCATCAAACCAAAACATGTTTATGGTTATATTTTCACTCTTAACATCCTCAGTCTTCGGAACCTATGACAGTTGTATTGTAATGTAGTTTAGGAGAACACTAGCATCTCATCAAACATTAAGAAACACAAGCAATCTGCCATGTTCAAGCTTTGTTCTTTCATTTGCCTAAATATAATTAAGTTTATACCTGGTTTAATTAGTATTTATTTAAGGACATTTTTAATGTCCGTCTTGAGGACAAAGTGAACAATTTACTTAAAAATATATATATCTTGTAAGGCTTTTTTCTTTTTTATTGAAATTGCTAAACAATTTGTCTTCAAAGTTTTATCATCTTCCACGACATTCATGTTTTACTTGTACTAACTGCATATTCAGGAATTCGTGGGTGTAGAATAAAACTTTGGCTATTTTTGACTATCAAAATTCCCCAATTTATTAGATTGATAATAATTTCGCAAATAGTTTATAAAGTTGTATAATGCATGAGTATGTTATAATATATAAAATGCTCGTTTTGTAATAAAAAAAATATAATGATTACACATGTAAAACAATGGTAAAGTGGGCATAAGAAAGTCACTTTTATAAATTATTTGTATTTTTTAAAATTGTGGTTATTATACACATTTAAAAAGATTTGTTATGTTACTAAAGTATGATAACATTATCAAGTTCACATTTTAAAGATTAATAATGCTGCTCCAAAATGTATCTTTTTTATTAAATTAATTAATTTTAAATACTAATTCATAAAATTATGGAAGAGGAGCAAACCTTTGGAGAGGATTCAATTACCAATGTGCTCTTAAATGGGAAGGAGTTGAGTCTTGTGGATGATACCACTGTTTCCCTGTATTAATATTGGGGTCATGTGACTGATATTGAAGCCATATTTTGATTATAAAAGAGAGCCGCACGGTCAATTTTTATCTTAAATTTTAAGGAGCCTTTTAAAAAATTTAAAGAAATAAACACATTAACTTTGGCATAGCAATATATTTATGAAAATGTAATATAATATGTACGTACATAAAAACATAAATAGCTTTCATAAGAATAAAGAAAACACCAGGAACAAACATAAACTTGTAATACCAATTACTAGAATCCACTGAGTCAGTAGTGCTGTTATGGGACAATGTATTACACGCTTTTACAACAAAATTTCAGAAAAGTACAAATTTTGTCAATTAACAAGTTGAAATGTTTTATTAAAGGGAAAATGTACAAAACTGTTATAAATAGCTTTCATAAGAATAAAGATGTTCAAACTTTAAACACTAGGAACAAAAATAGGCTTGTAATACCAGTTACTAGAATCCACTGAGTCAATAGTGCTTTTATGGGGGCAATGTATTATAGGCTTTTACAATAAAATTGCAGAAAATTTACAAAATTTGTCAATTAACAAGTTGAAATGTTTTATTAAAGGAAAAATGTACAAAAAGTGTTATAAATAGCTTTCATAAGAATAAAGATGTTCAAACTTTAAACACTAGGAACAAACATAAGCTTGTAATACTAGTTAATAGAATCCACTGAGTCAGTAGTGCTTTATAGGGCAATGTATTATACGCTTTTACAACAAAATTGCAGAAAATGTACAAAAATTGTCAATTAACAACTTGAAATATTTTATTAAAGGAAAAATGTACAAAAAGTGTTATAAATAGCTTTCATAAGAATAAAGATGTTCAAACTTTAAACACTAGGAACAAAAATAGGCTTGTAATACCAGTTACTAGAATCCACTGAGTCAGTAGTGCTTTTATGGGGTCAATGTGTTATACGCTTTTACAACAAAATTGCAGAAAATGTACAAAATTTGTCAATTAACAACTTGAAATGTTTTATGAAAGGAAAAATGTACAAAAAGTGTTGTAAATAGCTTTTATAAGAATAAAGGTGTTCAAACTTTAAACACTAGGAACAAACATAAGCTTGTAATACCAGTTACTAGAATCCACTGAGTCAGTAGTGCTTTATGGGGCAATGTATTATAAGCTTTCAGAACAAAATTTCAGAAAATTTTCAAAATTTGTCAATTAACAATTTGAAATGTTTTATTAAAGGAAAAATGTACAAAAAGTGTTATTATAATATCAAAGAATACATAAAATAACTCCTGGGTATGAGGTGATCGCAATCATGCTTGTATGTACTATTAAAATTTATTTAAAAAATGATATTGTAAAGTGAAATATGTTTAAAAAAAAGTCACGCTGGGTTTCTTGTTGGTTCTTCCCTGGACAGTGGTATCGGTGGTAAATAAAACACGATTTCCAATAAGTATTATGTAATAATCTATATTTAATTAAAAAAAATGTTCTATTCTCTGTAATATAAGATATTTACTAACTAGTAGGGATATTGTATAAAGAAATCAATTGATATTGTGCAAATACTGTTAAATTTAACACATCTAATGTTATTCAATAACTAAGCAAAGAATTTTTAAACAATAAACGTTTTAAAAATAACCTGTTTTTTATTTTTTGGTATAGGAACTTACAATTACCACGAGAAACATAAACAACTATTAATTACATTGCAGCACTTGCGCAATGTAATTAGTGGTTGTATATAAAACAGGCCCGTGACAGCTTAGTTCCATTCTACGCAACTTGGCGCTACCGTCGCAATTTGTACTCTGCCTACGGACGCCATTTTGAGACGCCATATTCTATTAATGTCAAATCATATTATCAAAACTATCGATATTGATTGCCGCCATTATTTATCTAAATTTTTCTCAATTATTACAATATTCTGTTTTTGTGCTGCTCGTGTGAATATTGCATATATCATCATAATGGTATACGAAAAGTGTTGTGTTGGTGGTTGCAATACAACACGTGAAACGCACCGGCTTTTCAGATTCCCTAGGAACGATAATTTAAGGAACTTGTGGATGGCTTTCATAGTGCCGACAAATCCCCAGCTCATTGTACTTTCCAAAGAACAGTTACTTTAACAAACGTGTCTGTGAAAAACATTTTGATGTATTTCAGTTCGGCAATGAAGGCAGAAGACTTCGATACTCTTACCCGTCCTTGCTTACTGACAATGAAATAGCTCATGGTGTGCCTCTGACTGCAACTGGTGAGTTATTTTATTACTTTCAACCATGGTACTTAAAAGAGAAGGAGACGTCTCTATACATTCTTGGGCCCAAGTATTAACAAGATAAAAGTACGACCATTTGTAAGTGTCATTGACTCTACATCATTATTTGCTATGATAGTGTAATTTTTTCAGGATGGGATGTCACAACTGAACATAATTACTGTAAAGAGCAAAATGAAGATGATTTCACAGAAGCTGTGTTAGTGGTTAGAAAGCCTGGTATGTACAAATATCTTAATTGATGTTAATTGTAAATCATAGTAAACATATTACGATGAACACTGATTTCTAAAAATATTTTATTTAAATTACAGTCAGTGGCAAATTTTTCAACATTTTGAATAATGTTTTCAGGAAGTGATGTTACGATTGAACACAATTACTACAAAGAGCAAAATGATTGTTCCAAATCATCGGTAGAGATTGGATCGTCAGGTGTGTACTAATATTCATGTAGCACTAGTTACTAAGTAGCAAAAAAAGCTTTCTAACTATTTCGTAAATTTACTAACCATTCATTTTCTAATAATGTGTTTGCCTAATCATACTGACATCTATAAAAATGCAATCTTGTAACAAATTTCAGATGTTGGAAATTCTCATGAACAGCCTTCATGTTCAAATTTTTCAACTGTTGCAACAGTTGTTGAAAATAAAGGTATGGGAAATTGTATTGGACATAATTTTTTATGCATTTATGTAGGGATCAAATTAAAAGAAGTACTTTTATATCAGGTAATAGAAAAAAATACTTTAAATGCTTAAAAACAGGCTGTGAACTGGAGGTGTCACTGCATACCTGGAACTGCATCTGTTCTAGAGGATGGTTATGTGTATTTAATTTAGACATACAATACAGAGAAGCATACATTGTAAATTTAATTTATGTTTAAGACCATAACATTCATAACTATTGCTTCTTTTCAGGAATTGATTCTAATGCTAATGTGGTGAAACAAATGATGCCAAAAGGTAGCACATGTACAAAAAAGCAAACAGGTATGATAAATTCAGTTCATTCTTAGACATTTATTTTCTAATAATATGTAATATTAGTGTAATAAAACTTTTTCGTCAATATTTTAATTAGATTACATGGACACAATTGGTGCAACATAAATAATAAAATATTGAAGGGTGATATCGATGAAAAATATGTATCTAAAATGGGTGAACCCCAAAAATTGGCCTTAAAGAAGTATAAAAGTTTTAGGTTAAGAAAAACATGTTTAAGTAAATAAAATGTTGATGAAGTGACTACCTATATATGCTGGTGGCTTAGGACCGTGATTTGTGGCATTTCTTGGGGGAAGCCTACGTTCAGCAGTGGACTTGTGAAGCGCTGTAATGATGACGGTGGTGAAATAAAATTCTAAAAATTAAGTTATATGATAATATAGATCACTTTTGAATTATGATTATACTAAACTGTCGTTAACAGTACCATACAGCATTAATACATACAATACAGAAGTATACATTATATATTTATTCTTTAATTTTGGGTTTATGTATAAGAACAAAATTCACAAATATTGTTGGTTTTCAGAAACAGAAATCTAATGCTGATGTGGTGAGACAAATGTTGACAGAAGATACAAAATGTACACATTGGCAAAAAGGTATGATAAATTCAGTTTATTCTTAGACATTAAGTTTCAACATATCTATTATATCTATATTCAGCATATTATCCTCAAATCACGGTAAGAGTTCTTTGTTCTTCATCAAATCTAAAGATTACAGTTCCACTACACTTCAATGGTTTTATCAACAACTCCTTTAGTATTAAGGTTACACTTATTTGGAACTCCGTGCCTGAAGACATTGAGAAATCTCCTGATAATGGATGTATACAGTGTTAATCTTTATATGTTTTTTATTTCTTATTTACTGCATCTACCACTTTATTTTCACCACACCATGGGTTGACCAATAAAAAATGGCAACTGCCATGATGCCACCCTTTGTTACCTTAACATAAATAATATACAATTTATGATTATCATTAAGTCATAAAATATGAATATTGAACTTTATTTTTATTTATTTCTTTTCAGGTTACGTGGTGTAGAAAATGAAATTAAAGAAGAGATGTTTTTTAATTTTTGTAAAAGAATTCCCAGGATTACCCCTAATGAAAAATAAATAGCATTGCTTCTAATAAAAAATGACTTGAAAGTAAAATATTAAGCACTTAAATATGATTCCTGTGGTTTAATTTGCTTTATTTAATGAACTGTAAATATTGCTCTGTTTCGTCAAATTGTACTTATTTATGTAAAATGTTATGTACAATTTTCCAATTTGTATATATGACAATGTGCCTTTAATTTAATCCTAAGATTACGTTTGTATGTATATGATGTTGGTGTGCTTGAATAAAAAATAAATAAGTTAGATGTATTATAATTGTTTCATTAAGTATTATTATTCCTGTATAATGCACTTATGTCGATATCGACAAAATAAGAACACCACTAGATATCGATAATTAGAAGGCTGTGTGCTTGCAATCCCTAAGCTATACTAAATTGTATAGTCATGACGTCATTACTCATCTGTCAAATTGGGCGACTGCAGCGCCAAAAGGCGTAGTTGGGAAACTTGACTAAAAGTCGCTGTCGTATCTGTAGCTTGCTACATATTTATTTATCTATGATATAAAATAAAAATATTAAAGTGCAAAAAAAGGGCGAGCCCAAAGCACCAATATTTTAACACCATCTATTAGGCAAAACAAGAACTTTAACTAAAATTAAACTTGAGTCGCACATCTATCTAGTATATATACAGTAATCTATGACTCCAACAAACTGTAATGAAATTGAAAATTTGAAATAATGAATACAGAGTATCTTTGTATAAACCACAGAGTACTTTTTTATAAATAGGAAGTATAAACTGAAAATAATGAAAGGAGTATCCTGTTCCTATACTATATCCTCTTAATGGTCTCTGTTCTCTGTGAATAAAAGTTATGGAAGTTTGGAACTCAATCTGTGGTAATAAGAAATGTCATTTTCTAAACTACCGGTAAGAATCTATGGTTGAAAATAAGGGCTAATTTTTTTGTTCTAAGATTCTATGCCGTGGGAAGAGGGATATATATTGTTTCAAAGTTATGATCGATGTTACAGAAACATCGATGATGACACCGATGTTGATATCGATAGCTTAACATCGATGTTCGATGTTTATCCTACTCAAAACATCGATGTTGGCCATTATCGATGTTATAGCACATGTACCTATTTAGTAGGTTAAAATTAGATGTACAAAATTTGTAGTGTTGTTTATGGTTTATTATTTATGAAATTAAAGACATTAATAACACATTCAGTGTGAAACAGTAATTTAAAAAATGGGAAAAACTTAACAAATATTTAGTTAATTTGTTATATTTTTTGCCGATAAGGATGAGTATTATTATTTTGATATTTAAATGTTCCTATACAATTATAAATCTGGTATTAAAATATTTACTATCCTAATTCACGATTTAGAAATAGGTTTTATATTAACTACTCCTATTGCGAAATAAAAAAATGATTATAGAGGAAAAATTAACAAACTTCACAAAAACAAAATTATAGACTTTTCCGTCACCTTTGTTCACACAATTTTTAATCAGGCAGCCCAGGCAGTAAGTATCCACAGCCGTTAATAAAATGCACTGTAGAATGCACTTTACAGTGAAATTGTCTATGCTCATGATTGCCCAGTGATTTATTCCGATAAACTTCAAGCAAACCATAAACTTGTTATCCCAAGCTCAAAAAAACAGCTAAATATAATTAAATTGTGTAGATACATATTGTTTCAAAATTATGTGTGTTTAGACAGCAAGGGAAAAAAATAATTAATTTCAATATCAATTTATGTAGAATAGTTATTAAGCGATAGCCGATAACGACACCACAATAACAAAGAGAAAGCAGTTACAATAGTGACATTACAGTTCACACTCGACGGAGAGTTTGACACAACATAATGATAGTTTTTTTAGTGATCGATGCATTTAGGAATCCTTAATTATTCAAAATTTTAAACCTTTAATGGGAGATGAAATATTTAGGTGATATTGATTTCGCTGGTTCGCATTGTTCACAAGTTCTTATTAATCGATTATTGGTTCATTGACATTGATGTTTGACATGTGGCAACATCGATGTTCGGAATCGATGTTTAACGAACATCCCCAAACTAAATTCGCACATCATGGATATGTTCTGAAATACAACGCGGTGTACTGTCCAATGCAAATGACTTATCATTTGACACTTTATTGTACTAGCGTGCCGCCGCCATATTGTGTCGGATATCCGGCCATAATAAAACAATTTTTAATTGTGTGTTTGCCGAATGAAGCATGCCAGAATTTGTTTCTATTTATTCAAATACAAAAAATTATAAAATAATTGATGGTATATCCATTAGGAGGATTAATGATTTTTGGAGCACAAAATGACAAAATAATCGCCAACACTTTTCCAAATAGCGCAAAAGTATGACGTCATATACTGTCCAATGTTTTGGAACGAATCAGCAGTATAGCGTCGATTCATGACGTCATTTGCATTGGACAGTACACTGCGTTGTATTTCGGAACATACCCCAAATTTATATTTTATAAACTTCCACAGGTTTATTTTGATTGTTGCGAACGTAGTTCTGGTTCTAGTTCTTCAATCTTCATAAGTTCCTACGTTCCTACTTCCTAAGCTAAGCACTGAGCAGTTATACTAGCTTATCTATCCTGAGTAGTTTTGAATTTTAAATCACAGAGTGCATCTATTTAATAAATAGAATTATAGAAATAAACTTTTTTGAATAGTTTACAATTTACATAACTTTCAGGCATTTGTTAAAAACATTCCTTGTTTATTTTACGCAAGTGGGTAAAATATTACCTAATTAATATTTCCTCGATTATGACTTTAACACACGTACTTTTCATCAATAAGAAATTGTATTAATTAAAAGTTTTCTGAAAACTTTCTTTAATCATGGAAGACGAGCGAACATATTCGAAGAAATCTTTAGAAGAATGTTCATACAGATATTTGCAGCAAATAGCGAAGTCAATGAGCCTTCCTTGTAATGTTAAGGTAAAAATCTTTCCATTTATTTAAAAAAAATTACTTATTTAGAAAAACAATTAAAAACTATTTAAGAAAAATAAGTACCGAACTTTTTTATTTAACATTTATTGTAAAATGTTTGCTGGTCTAATAAACTTGGTGTAATTGTGTAAGAAAAAATGTAATTAAAAATAAGATTAATAAACAATTGGGAGTTGTGTACCTTTTTTAAATAAGTTTGATATCATTTAACTGTTGTGACAGAGGGAAATAAACCAGGATTCATTTGTTCATTACAGTCTGTGAAAAGTCAACTGCTTAAGAAAAGCCTCCCCCATAAATTGCACTATAGGAGGGATACTTGCCACACTTGACGAGGAGATGGGCAACCAAAGGTTTTAATTATTTGGTTGTTAGCGGGAAGATGCACCTGCCCATCTTTTTTTTTTTATAGGAGAGGGTAACAAACGAGCACACAGTCCACCTAATGGTAAGTGGTTGCTGTGGCCCGTAGACATCCACATTTATCCTCAATTACGAATGAAAATGCAGATGTGTTGTCGCCCGTGAGGACTAAGATGAAATGCCTCATTTCCAGTAAAAAGGAAACACAGTGGCATTAAGCTATTATTTAGCGTTGGTAGTATGTGAGATCTCCAGTTATATTTCTCTTTGTTACCTGTACAATACCCTTGGTATATGAGGTAGTGAATGGTAAAGGTATAGACATCCAGTACTAGCATAAGGCGGGAGGGGGGTTGGTTCAGAGGAACCTTCCCTCTTTATGGAAATGTATAGTCTATATATATATATATATAAAAAGTAACTAATGTAGTAATTAAGCATATAATTTAACAACATTCTCTCAATCTCCATTCTTCACACAATTTATTACTGTCTACTCCTCTCCACTATTCTGAGTTTATGTCAAATTCTTTCACAGTAACTTCCATCTCCCCTCTGGAATAAATTGCCTGTTGAACTGCGAATAATACCTGTCAAAAATATTTTGAAAAGGAAACTATATATCTATCCATAGCCAACATAGTTGAGTCAACTTACTTGATATTTATATAGTTATTTTTACATACATTTATTGAAATATTATGTATAAATGTCAATTTATTTATATATTATGTGTATCAATTATATGTTTTATATATATGTTGTGTATATTGTGTGTATGTGTCGCATGTACATATTTGAAAAAAATTTAATCATGATAACTTTACTGCCCATAACTCACTCTCTCTTCTACCCAAGGTTAACTGGTAGAGAATGCCATATAGCATTAAGCTCGCCTTTTGTACAGAATTTTTGGTGCAATAAAGAATTAAAAAAAGTTTTAACACAAAATTTAGAAATTGTGTTATGCTTAAACAATCGAATTCTGTTCTATTCACAAATATTTAAGTGTTTTTATGTTATTCTATAGAAGGTATACCTGATTGAACTCATATTGGCCAAAAAGTTCAGTTCTGCAAGCGAGGTGAAGAGCATCGTGCAACGAGTGAAATTGGAGCGAAAGCAAGTGGCACAAATTAGGAAGAGATGCCGCAAAGCTAAATTGAAGGTAGGACTAAGGGTAATGTTACACTATGGGCGGGGTATTCATTTAAAATGTAAACAGTATGGGCTACAATAAATTATGAATCACATAATTAACTTTTTTAAGAATATTGAAAAATCGATGAAGCAACTATTAACACAAATAAATGGGCCGTCAAGCAAGGATTTTAGAGATTAAAATGAAATTCTTCACAGTGCATTCATTATACATTCACACTATACTAATGGTATTATTATAGGCTACACCCAACACAGACATTATAGATTGATGTGTAGTATGCCTATAATTTATGATAGTAATAACTTTCTGATTTCTTAAAAAAGGAATACTGAAATTATGAACAGCCAATTTGTGAATAGTGATTTGAACTTACATGTTCTTATTGGGGTGTCTTATAAATTACATTATTACTGTTAACAATTTTATTTTAGTTTAATATTTTTGTATTACAGAAAGCGGAAATATATTCACTAAGTAAAGGAACACAATCTCCACCTATAACAACAACACCAAAGCGTCCTGGCAAATCGCTGTTACATTGCAGTCCAGACTTACAACAAACTGTTATCAAATACAAACCAAACAAACGTCTGTACCCTATACCACATAGAACTTATCCTTCTCCTAAAACACAAAATGGAAGTGATAGAGTGTTACGAAGTTTCAATTTGAAAAAATTAAATAAAAATTCGGGCTTTATGAACATAAATGACACTGTAGTTGAGATGATCAAAACTCAGCAAAGAATCAATCCAAAAGAAACTCGCGTTGAAATTGTGAGTTGTGAGGGAAACCATCCAAAATTTAATGTGACTGCAAAATGTTTGGTGAAAAAACACAAGCCGAGCATACTAACTTCCGGTCCTTTGAGCGCTGTTAAGACTTATGAAAGCAGAAAATTGGTGCCTGTTTGTAATGGAGTAAGTGTGTTTAAATTATAAAGTTTTATTATCATCATCAAAATCATCATCTTCCCAAGTCCACTTCCGAAAATGGACCTCCACCAAGGAATGCCACTAAACACAGTCCTGAGCCACCTGCATCCATCAAATTCTTGCATGGTCTTACGAAGTTTCAACTCCATCAAGAGTTGGTATGCCTTACTTTGCTTGCCAGTTTGAGGCTGTCACTTGAGAACCTTTCTTCCCCATCAGTTGTCAGTTCTTTGTACAAAGTCTTATAAACAAAATTATCCCACCCTTTGCCACTTCAGCTTATTGATGTCGGTTACTCTGATTCTATTGGTAATGCTTTATTAAAGTCAATAAGTTTTAAGATTGCCTAGTGGTGTTGGCGTAAGTGAATTTTCTTCTGTCGGCAATTATGGTACACTTAAACTATGGAAAATAATATGATCTTTTAGTTCTGCCAAGAGTGATGTTTAAGGCAAATCCTCTCAGTAATGCGTTTCGTCGTTTGTGTGGCTATCTGTAGCATCATAGCTCCCAAACGGATGAACAGATTTAGTTGTTGTTGAAAGGTGACTTGATCGAGAGTGTTCAGTTGATTTTCAAGAGGAGTACAGCATGTTTCCACAATCGCCTCTTCCAATTTACTCATCTGCTCTAGTTCATGGTTCAACCTTCCATCATTGTCTGAATCAACCATAACGGGAAGATCCGTGGCGGCTGCCACATGTGGATGCTGGTCTATGGCCTGAGGAGCCGCATCCCCAGCCATTCGATGAGGGAATAGCCTCATGCCGTAGTAGCGGTGGACTACACCAGCGGCGAATGCCGTTTGCCGTGTCCGAGAGGACTCTGCCGACACCAAGCCATCTGGTGGGGATGATGGATACGGGGGCTGCTAGATGGTCGTGCAGCACCTCGCGCTCTTCTAGCGGCCCGCGTGCTGCCGCGTCTAGCGCCAGCTCCAGACGCCCTAGCGACCCACAGGCAGCGGCCCTATATGCTTTCTTTGGTTATCCATCATCCATTTATGGGCGTCAATTAACGGGAGACACCCAGGCCCGGCACCGTTTCATCGTAAGCACAAATGGGTCTTTGCTCCCTCAATTCTGCCGAGGCACGGCGCTTACACCTTTTGGCAAGGCGCTGAGTGACAGCGCCGACATAGCAGTTTTGTCACTTAACTTTTACGTCAGCGGGCGATAGGGTCGTCACTTTCCTACGCCTATATTATTATTATTTAACAGACCAGCAGTTGAAGCAACTGGTAAAAGCCTGTATCCTAATTTAAAATGTGTATTTATTCTATTTTAGTTCTCTATCCAATCCGTTTTTAAATCGGTTAATGATCTGTGCAGATATCACTTCTGAAGGCAGCTTGTTCCATGCTTCATTTAATTTGAGGTGATGCCCCCTAAGATGCGTTTGAGGACTGGAACAACAATTTATCAAAATTTTCCGGATCTTAATATCCATGTATAATCTTGTATGTCACCAAGTATGGTTTGCAATTTTGTTTATAAAATGTCAGTCTCATAGTAAGTGTATGGAACTTAACAATATGGATCATACCATCATACCAACCATATGGCTACTGTTGTTTCAATAATATGTATTTATTACAGAATACTTCCCCACCAGCTAAGAGACAAAGATCAATTAGCGGGATATATCCTTTAGTTCATGAAGAAACTACAAACAGATGTGGCTACCTACAGAGTGTTGGTTTAAGAGGCAGAGACGGGAAAATGTCAAGAATACAGGCGTTAGTACAAAAACGCTCAACATACAGAGAAAATTGCGACATACTAAACATCCGTACCCCTGAAATTAATCTACAAGATGTAATTAATTGCAAGATAGATGCTCAGAATCTCGCTAGTACAAACTTAATGGAGTTCGTTTTAGCAGATACAAATATTAACAATAATTATTTGCAACTACCTTGTCCGTCTCAATCTAATCTAGATAATCAGGAAAATGAAACTCAAAATTCGGTACATTTGAATAACAAGCAGAATGTTACTGGAAGGGATGTGTCTGATGATATGCGCTCAGTGTATTATCATAAGAAAATTAGAGCAGAACAAATGAGGTGTAATCGGTTTGCAAGCAACAGTGAACAGGTTGTAGATCAGAGATTGCCCAATATTAATGAGGTCTTTACAAAGTTCAAGGACGTTACACAACCTTTGTATGTTCAAGTTAGCAACGAGTCCGAAAGAAGTAAGTTTTATATTATTCTAATAACCAACTTAATAAACTGGATATCATACATACCTAAAACCTTAGTTGTTCGGCTGTATTTTGAGTTATGTAATACAACATCCCTGAGGTTTTTGTGTCTTCTAGACGAGGTAACCGTGCCTCAATTCTATCGTGGTCCTCATGGGTGACAACATATCTACTTACTTTAATATTTAACCGAGAATATATGTATTGTTAGAAGCAAATCTCAGAATTATTTAAAATATAAAAATAATACTCCGTAACGAACTTTCTTTACTACTAGAAATTATTCTGGAAGTTAATTGTTAAAAGTAATAAATGTGTGAGAGCGGATGTTCAACTTGCTCTCTTGCTAAACGCAACGAATTATTATCAGGAATAAGACAGCGTATTGTACCATACATTCTGTATAGAGCAATACTGTTTGACTAACCATAACATGTTCCCGTCACAGTACACACACCGGTGTAACATTAAGGACCCAATTACATGATCACACCAAAGTAAGCATATCAACAATAACACTGCCCATCTCAATGCAGGGCAGTCTTCAAACCGTTCTTTATGGAAGAAAGTAGGTGAATGTGAATTAAAGTTAAATAAACTGTTATCTGAATCAGATATCATTACTTCTAAATCGCTAAAACCAAATTCTAATGAAAAGTCGATAAATAGTGGTAACTTAATTCTTTCACCGCAAAAAATTAATAGCCAGAGCCCATTAAATAATAACTTATCCACAATGATTAGTGTCAAAATTCCTACAAACTCTGATCTTGATATGCACAACAAGCCCAAAGTAGTGAAGGAAGCTGCAAACAAAATTTGTCTACTCAGTACGTCCAGATTTATGAAGACCCGAAACATATTACAACATAATGTACAAAACAACTATGATATATGCCACTATCTACTGACTGATCATGGCATAAGACCACTTCTACTAGACATAGAAAAAAAACTTCAGAACTTCTCCTTAAGAGACTACTGCATAATAGTCATTGGCAAAGAGGATTTTGAGGCCACAACTAATTATTTTGAGCTTATTACCTACATCCGAGAAAAAATACTACAAATAACAAATACAAATATTATCTTGTGTCTGCCGACATTCAAATGTGGTAGATTTGTAAACCTATTCAACAAGAGAATAGAACTGTTTAATAACCTCCTTTGTTTGGACAATATGACATATCAATACTCATATTTAATTGACTCCAACTTGAACCTCGATTACAACCATACCATGTTTCATAAGCGCACAGGCCAGATAAACGACTACAGCATGCAGATCATCTTTAAAGACGTCGCTGATCTAATAAAGAACATAGAAGAATACCAAGAAGAGGATTGTGGCAAAATTGTAGTAAACAGTGCCAATGATTTTAAAACCTCTGAAATTGTCTCAAAAAAGGAAGAAACCTTACCGATAAGTAACTGCCTATCATCAAAACAAGAAACAGGGCCTATAACCAAAAGTAGTATTCCTGACAAGACATTTCGTTAACAGTTTTAAATTAACTTTCCAAAACGTTCAGAGCTTAGGAAATAAAGTAGACTTAATTGAGTATTTATTATTTGATACAAACATTGACATATTATTATTGTCAGAAGTATGGAGAAGTGAGGACTTTTGTGAATCTATAGTAATACCAAATTATAAAGTAGCTTCAATATTTAGTAGAAAAAAGCACGGTGGTGGAGGTGTTTGTATTATGCTGAAGGATTGTATTGATTATATTGAAAAAATAGACTTGGTTAATTTTTCCGTAGAATTTACGATTGAATTTTGTGCAATAGAAATACCGAAATATAATATTGTTTTAGTCAGCTTATATAGAGCGGATCGTAATATTAATATCTTTTATGAACAATTAAATAAACTACTTAATAGAATACAACTAAAATATAGTCATAAATATGTCATTATTGGGGGTGATTTCAATATAAATGTTAACGAAAACAATAGTGATTCTCAGGAACTCTTAAATTTAATGCGTTCTCATAATTTAGCTCAACTTATAAAAGAACCCACCCGAGTCACAAATAAAACAGCCACCTGTATTGATCTAATCTTTACAAACTATATATCTTTAGTAAAAAATTGCTATGTTATTGATTATGGTTTATCAGACCATAAAGCAACAAATCTAGAATTAAATTTAGAGACGGCGATGAGCAAAAAGCAAGTGTTATTTACAAGAAAAAGGTATTTTACAAAACAAAACATTAATTCATTCAAAAAATCATTAAATAACGTCGATTGGAATAATATTCTAAAAGAGAACCAAACTGTAAATGAGAACTATAATATTTTTTTTAAAATAATATCAAATAGTTTAAACGAACATATACCTATGATGAAAGTAAAAATAAAAAAACAAAAAAATAAAGGCTGGTTGACAACTGGATTAAAAAAAATATTGTAAGCATAAAAGACTTTTAAGAATAATCCTTAATGATACAAAAAGTCCAGTTTTTCTTAATTACTATAAAAAATACACAAAAATTCTTAAACGTAGTATCAAATTATCAAAAAAACTACAATACATTAAACAAATGAAAAATTCGAGTAACAAAATAAAGACCATGTGGAACATAATTAATAATAAATTGGGTAGAATGAAAACAAAAAATCGCAAAAACATGATATTAAATATTCATAATAACACAATAACGTGTCCCATTCAAATTTCTAACATATTTAATGAACATTTTGCAGCAATTGGTAAAACTAATAATATTAATAAAAATCAGAAACAATGTAAAAATTCTGTCGAATTGAAACCGACATGCTCCATGTACCTAACCTCAGTTGATGAAAGGGAAATCCAAAATAGTATAAAAAAATTAAAAACTAAATATAGCTGTGGTGTAGATGATATACCACCGGCGCTTTTAAAACAATGCACTGAAGAATTTGTCTATCCCCTTACTTTTTTAGTAAACCAAAGTTTTCAACATGGCATATTTCCAGACCCTCTCAAAATAGCACTAATAAAACCGTTGCACAAAAAAGAAGATAAAAAAAACCCTAACAACTACAGACCAATAGCCCTATTGCCCACCTTTTCAAAGATATACGAAAAAGCAATGTGTAATAGACTACTCATTCCTTGAAAAGTATGAAATACTGGATGATAGCCAAAATGGATTCAGAAAATCAAGATCAACCACCCTAGCTGTATATAAGTTCATACAAATGGCCTTACAAAATTTAAATGATAAAAAACATACTTTTGGTATTTTACTTGATATGACGAAAGCATATGACAGGGTGCCCTATGATAAACTACTTTTAAAACTTATGAATTCGGGTATCCGTGGGCTAGTACATAACTGGTTTAAATCCTATTTAAATAATCGGAAGCAAATTGTAGAAATTGAACACTTCAACCAAATTACAAATGAAGTAATAAAAGTTCGTTCTGAAGAGAAGCACCTAACTAGTTCAATCCCACAGGGCAGCGTCTTAGGCTGTGTGCTGTTTCTTATTTATGTAAATGACCTGCCAAAATGTTTGTATAGAGAATCAACACTGCCAGTATTATTTGCAGATGACTTGTCAATACTTATAAAAAGTAACGACAACATTAGCTCTGAAGCCCTTATCTATGATACACTTCATAATGTCACTCATTGGCTTGATAGCCATAATCTAGAAATAAACCTTAAAAAGACAAAAATTTTACAATTTCGTTCATATAATAAACCACCCCTAGAAATTAATTTTCAATTACAAAATACCCTAATAGAAGAGGTAGACTCGTATAACTTGCTTGGACTTAATGTAGATACACATTTAAACTGGAAGTCACATATTGAAAAAATTAAATGCAAGCTCTCTAAATTTACATATGCGCTTTATCAAATTAATCATAGCACAAATTTAGAAACTGCACTTTCGACATATTACGCGTATGCCTTTTCGTGGCTAAAATATGGCATTATCCTTTGGGGTAATAGTGTTAATGCAGATGAATTGTTCATTTTACAAAAAAAATGTGTTAGGATACTTGCCAGAATTGATAACAGACATAGCTGTCGACCCTACTTCATTAAATTTAAATTATTAACCTTAGTTTCTATATACATAAAAGATATAAGTAATTTCGTATTTAAAAATGAACACTTCTTCACCCAGATAAAAGAAACACACAATGTAAATACTAGGCATAAACATAGGTTATATTTACCCCCATCTAGAACCAAAATGCTCAATTGTAGTCTATATTACATGGCAATTAAAATATTCAATAAACTACCCATAAATATAAAATCTGATGTTAAATTAAGTTCATTCAATAAAAAACTTCATGATTATCTTATATCCAAATGCTTTTACACGCTTACTGAATTTTTTGATAGTTAATTACTAAGTATTAAATAACATTTTATTTTCAAAATAGCCAAATATAATATAATGATGTTACATAGTTATAAGTCCATTTAATTATTTTATTGTATATTTCTTGTATATTGCAACGCCCGACAGGGTCTATAATGGTCACTGTAACTGCTAATGTACTGTACATTATAGAAGCAATAAACGATTTGAAATTGAAATTGAAACAACACGGCCTTACTTGCCCACAATAGTAGAATACCCCAATGAGCATAGTAACAACAGTGAGCCTCGTAGAATTACCGAATGACCCTCTTAGTCGCCTGCACGATACTTTATACTGCTAAAACGAGTGGGAAATTACAGTTCTACCCTCATTTTTTCGTATTTGCTTTTATTTTTTTTACACTCAATCCTAACACAATAATTTTTAAAATATCTTTGAAACTAGCAACCCACACCGTTTTACCCTCATTTTTTCGTATTTTTATTTTTTACCCTCATTCCTAACACAATAATTTTTAAAATATCTTTGAAATTAGCAACCCGCTCCGTTCTACCCTCATTTTTTGTATTTACTTTTATTTTTTAACCCTTATTCCTAACACAATAATTTTTAAAATATCTTTGAAACTGGCAACCCACACCGTTCTACCCTCATTTTTTCGTATTTACTTTTATATTTTTACCCTCATTCCTAACACAATAATTTTTAAAATATCTTTGAAACTAGCAACCCGCTCCGTTCTACCCTCATTTTTTCGTATTTACTTTTATATTTTAACCCTCATTCTTAACACTATAATTTTTAAAATATCTTTGAAACTAGCAACCCGCTCCGTTCAACCCTCATTTTTTCGTATTTACTTTTATTATTTTACCCTCATTCCTAACACAATAATTTTAAAAATATCTTTGAAACTAGCAACCCGCTCCGTTTTACCCTTATTTTTTCGTATTTACTTTTATTTTTTTTAACCCTCATTCATAACACCATAATTTTTAAAATATCTTTGAAACTAGCAACCCGCTCCGTCCTATCCTCATTTTTTCGTATTTACTTTTATTTTTTTACCCTCGTTCCTAACACTATAATTTTTAAAATATCTTTGAAACTAGCAACCCGCTCCTTTCTACCCTCATTTTTTTCGTATTTACTTTTATTTTTTTACCCTCATTCCTAACACTATAATTTTTAAAATATCTTTGAAACTAGCAACCCGCTCCGTTCAACACTCATTTTTTCTTATTTACTTTTATTTTTTTACCCTCATTCCTAACACAATAATTTTAAAAATATCTTTGAAACTAGCAACCCGCTCCGTTTTGCCCTTATTTTTTCGTATTTACTTTTATTTTTTTACCCTCATTCATAACACCATAATTTTTAAAATTTCTTTGAAACTAGCAACCCGCTCCGTCCTAACCTCATTTTTTCGTATTTACTTTTATTTTTTACCCTCATTCCTAACACTATAATTTTTAAAATATCTTTGAAACTAGCAACCCGCTCCGTTCTACCCTCATTTTTTCGTATTTACTTTTATTTTTTACCCTCATTCATAACACTATAATTTTTAAAATATCTGTGAATCTAGCGACCCGCTCCGGCTTCGCACAGGTGCAATGTATACTCATGAGGTGTCAGTGTGGAGCTCGATTAATAATATTATTATTAGAATACGCATGTATTGTACATATAAACTTGCCTCTTGTATCATTCTATTTATTGATTAAAACCCTATCAAAAAAGATCTATGCGCACAGACGGCGGGAAGCGACTTTGTTTTATACTATGTCGCGAAGAGATTTTATGGCAGTATACCATAAAATTTCACCAGGTTAGTGATTGGCTTATAAAGAGTGTCAAAAGCTATTATGTCCGACCTTTATTGCACTATAAAGTAAGTTTATATAAATAAAATATAAATAAATGTCAATTATTATTACTTTTTAGTATTTAATTTTTCATACATGGCAGAGACACGCTGCAGCTATATTATGGTTGTAGCACGTATGGGTCGGATCGACCTGGGAAGGCCCATGCTCTCACAGAATAGCAGCTTAATACTGCTATGTTTCGTATGTTGAGTGTAGAGATCCGGAGACCCTTTTTTACTGGAAACGAGGCATTCCATCTTAGTCCTCAGGGGTGGCAACGCATTTGAATTTTTATTCTTAATTGAGTATAAATACCACAGCATCCACTTACCATCACGTGTACTTTGTGTTCGTTTATCACCCTTATTATATAAAAAAAAGTTATATTTGTGAATATGTATAAACTGACATTCCTGGCAACACTCACTGAAATTGGTATTAAATCTGTTATTCTCCAGTACTCAACAACCCAGTAAATGTACCAAGAAATAATACTAACACAGGGATGCTGGAAAATATTTACAATATCCGAAGTCAATTCCTCATCAATCAGCCGTTGTTGCAAGTATCAACAACATCAAACACAAGGTGTGTTTACAGCACACCAATCCTGACTTCTGCGTAAGTATTTAATTTTAAACTTATAGCTTTATTTGCTACTTACATATTATGTTATTAGGATTTATTGCATTGTAAATAATAAACTGCACAATATTTATATTTAAATAACACTAATATTGTGTTTTCAACCGACTTCAAAAAAGGAGGAGGTTCTCAATTCGACTGTATTTTTTTTTATGTGTGGTTACCTCAGAACTTTTTTCTATATATCTGACCAGTAGTTTTCGCGTAATGCTTAATAATGCGTATTTAATTAACTTTGACTACATTGACGATGTTCTCATTTTGTTAATTGAAGTCGGTTGTACAAATTTTTTAATTTTACCATTTGTTTTTTTGCAATTTATAAGCAATATTTTATAATATTTTCTTTTCTTCATTACAAGAATGCGTTACATTCACACACTGATATTTTTTAAAGGTGATCCTAGAAATGTAATATTTTAATACAAATATGATTTACAAATTCTTTTTTTATTTTTTGTTCTATATATATTATTCATCATGCAGTAATACATACAGCCAAACATGTCACTAACAACTTCATGGGTATCTAACTGTGACATATGACCGCCTTATGCTCGATGCTACTGTTTACTTAAATGTTTAAGATTTCCTTTGGTAATTGTCAGCTTTGACTTCTTGCAATTGTTCAATAAATGCTTACTATTTTTGTCTATTCTAAGCACATACATAAACACAATTTTTTTTTGTTTGTGTTTATGCAGGGTTATTTTTCGGAGTAGCCAAATTTTAAACTTAAGTTAATTTAATTAAGTTAATTTTAAACTTAATTTATATCCCAAATTGAATGTAATTTATGGGCAACAACGTTTTTGCCAACGAATCGATCATTACGAATGTGTCTGCGCAGTCAAATCAGTTAAAATAACGCATTACCACGCATTTTTAATTTAAAAAGATAAAAAGGACCTAAAGTCTCAGTTTTATTTACTTAATATATATACTATATTACTTATTTTGTACCTTCTCTGCAAATTTGGCCGGTAATTGCAAAATAAGCCTGTATATTTATAAATGCTAATGTGCTGAAAACAAATTTCGATACCACCTGAAGAATATAATAATTAACCAAGGTAGATGAATCGGCTAACTAGCTTTATCCAAGACAGATTTTTTATAATGTAGCAAACATCTTACACAGACATGTGTGGTTTCCATAAGGCTGACAAGAGATCGTTTTATGAAAATATAATGTCCAAAACATTTTATACCTTATTTAATTTAATGAATAGACGTAATTACGCAAAAAAGGATCCATCTTTTTTTTAGAGGATAGGGTGACAAACGAGCACACAGTCCACCTGATGGTAAGTGGTTGCTGTGGCCCATAGACATCTGCATGTATCCTCGACCACGAATCCAAATGCAGATGCGTTGTCACTCGTGAGGACTAAGATGGAATGCCACGTTTCCAGTAAAAAGGGTCTCCGGTTCTCTACACTCACCATACGAAACACAGCAGCATTAAGCTACTATTTTACGCTGGTATTCTGTGAGAGCGTGGTCCTGCCCCGGTCGAGCCGACCCATTCGTGCACAACTACTGCTAATATAACTGCAGCATGGCTCTATCACGTGAAAAATAAAAAATTCTTCTAAAATAAATTATTTATGCCAATTTTTTTTATTAAACTAAAGCGACAAAGGAGCTTAGAGTACACCTGTTGGTAAGTGGCTGCTGCATGTCATGTAGTACACCTATTTTATACGTGGTAGAGCCACGCTGCGCTATATTATGGTTGTAGCACGAGGGTCGCTCGCCGGGGAAGAACCACGCTCTCACAGATATCAGCGTAAAATAGCAGCTTAGTACTGCTGTGTGTCGTATGGTGATTGTAGAGATCCGGAGACCCTTTTTTACTGGAAACTAGGCATTCCATCTTAGTCCTCATGGGTGGCGACGCATCTGCGTCTAGATTCTTAATCGAGGATAAATGTAGATGTCTATGGGCCACAGCATCGACTTGCCATCAGGTGAACTATGCGCTCGTTTGTCACCCTTATTCTACTAGGGCCGATGCAGATGCAAAGCTATATTATATTTATATATATTATATATAATATATAGCTATATTATATATATAATATATTTGCTAGCATCATAAACGAAGCGAAGTAAAAGTCTAAATTCATAACTATCTTTATTTCAACAAAAATTCAACTCAAAGATTCAATCACATTACAATTGTTTTAAATAAATTTTTTTCACAATACTTATTACAAAAGCGTGCGCTTTTGCTGTACATGTATTTTCCCATAGACAATTTAGTTTTTTGGTTATTTTTTAATATCTTTTAGACAAATTCAGATTTTTATTGTTTACAAACCTTGTCTGAGCTGCTCTTGTTGAGCTACAAATATTGCCGAAAAAATATGTAAATTGACCTACGGGTTACGGAGGAGATAGATTTCAAAGAATCGTTTTCTTGCGCCATGGGAGCTCCGCTCGAATAAAAATAAAAGACACCTGCAGCCAACTTCACACAAAGAAGACTTCAGATGCGTTGTCACCTCTGAGGACTAAGATCGAATGCCTCACAGCCTTTTATCATACTGGCTCTCTATAACCTTCATATCGGAACACAGCAGTGCAAGCATTGCTATTTGGTGACAGAAATGGGTGAGAAAGTGATATCTACCCTAACAGACTCCTAGGTAGAATAAAAATCTCCTACGACCTTATAATAATTAATCCTTTGTCGGATATTTTTGGTCGACATTACTACACAGCAGTGCAAGCATTGCTATTTGGTGACAGAAATGGGTGAGAAAGTGACATCAAAAATCTCCTACGACCTAATAATAATTAATCCTTTGTCGGATATTTTTGGTCGACATTACTACACAGCAGTGCAAGCATTGCTATTTGGTGACAGAAATGGGTGAGAAAGTGACATCAAAAATCTCCTACGACCTAATAATAATTAATCCTTTGTCGGATATTTTTGGTCGACATTACTACACAGCAGTGCAAGCATTGCTATTTGGTGACAGAAATGGGTGAGAAAGTGACATCAAAAATCTCCTACGACCTAATAATAATTAATCCTTTGTCGGATATTTTTGGTCGACATTACTACACAGCAGTGCAAGCATTGCTATTTGGTGACAGAAATGGGTGAGAAAGTGACATCAAAAATCTCCTACGACCTAATAATAATTAATCCTTTGTCGGATATTTTTGGTCGACATTACTACACAGCAGTGCAAGCATTGCTATTTGGTGACAGAAATGGGTGAGAAAGTGACATCAAAAATCTCCTACGACCTAATAATAATTAATCCTTTGTCGGATATTTTTGGTCGACATTACTACACAGCAGTGCAAGCATTGCTATTTGGTGACAGAAATGGGTGAGAAAGTGACATCAAAAATCTCCTACGACCTAATAATAATTAATCCTTTGTCGGATATTTTTGGTCGACATTACTACACAGCAGTGCAAGCATTGCTATTTGGTGACAGAAATGGGTGAGAAAGTGACATCAAAAAATCTCCTACGACCTAATAATAATTAATCCTTTGTCGGATATTTTTGGTCGACATTACTACACAGCAGTGCAAGCATTGCTATTTGGTGACAGAAATGGGTGAGAAAGTGACATCAAAAATCTCCTACGACCTAATAATAATTAATCCTTTGTCGAATATTTTTGGTCCGGCGCCCCCCCTGTAATCCGACATGGTCTATTATTTATTATTGAGTATTTTTTGACAGTCTTCGCTAATGCATGTTCGAACAAGTTATAAATTGTACGCCTCATCACTATTTTGCTCGCCGCGTAGAGTATTGTATCTATTCTGATTGAAAAATTTGATTATGAAAATGGTCAAAAAAAATGGAAAACGAAATTTTCCTCAAAAAGCTTTATTGCTTCTTGATAACGCTCTTAAACTAATACTTCTTAAATTGATTGATTCACAATTTTTTGATTATTTTAGTATGTACATTTGTTTGTACACAATTATTTCCTAATGTCAAGTTATTGCATATTTTTTGTGAGTTCTATAGCTTTAATGATGTTAATTTTATAATAAAACGTAAAGCTTTCTATTGTGTTATTTAATTTACTAAATTTGATATACATAATGAAGTATGAGTTGTACTTCAAAGTATAGTTTACGACACGAGTCATGAGCACAGATGAACTGTGGTGGGAGGTAGGTACACTGTCGGGCAAAATTATTGGGTACCTTTATTATTTCAATTCGTAATTGAATATTTTCGCCGACTTTTATGAAAATGTTTACTCGAACACATCAACTTTTACTTTGATACAATAATGTTGCAGATATTAGTGTCCGTTATTTTATTATTTACTATAAAGTATTTAATGTGTACCTGGTAGTTAGAATTGATTATTTTATTAAGAAGAAGGAAGAGGTGATATGCCTTCCATAAAATCTGGTGTTGTGGTGCGCCGTACAGTAGCTACTGAGACATTAGTCACCTCAGCAGTCTGTTTATATACGTCTATGATGTTTTTCGCGGTACCTAATTTTTTCATGTAACTAAGCACTGAATAGACCATTTGTCGGGATTGTCTATTTAACACCGAATTCTTCCTTCTCTGCATATTTAGACCGAAATCTGAACAATCAAATTATAACAACAAAAATAAATAAAAACAAGAAATAACAAAATCAATTAATAACAAGAAAAACACAAACAACAATTAACGACGAGGTAACAAAAACAATTAACGAAAATAAACTAATTAAAAAAGTTATCACTAAAATTATTGCTCGGAAGTGTACGAAAGCCGAATGATACGTTCGAATCCAATAGACGACGAGAATCGACTGATGAACCAATCACGTTGAACGTTAGCGTGGTCAACGTCGTATCGACCAATAAAAAGTGTGCTCACGACTTATGTCGACAATTATACGTATATATAACATATAGAATTTTATCATTGGTCTATAATTTGTCGGATTACAAGGTACTTTTTCTAAAAAAAAGTCCGGACTATGGGGGTCTTTAGGCAGTACTCTATAATCCGACATATTCGATAGTCCGACATGCCCTGCAAAATGTTTGTCGGATTACCGGGAGTCCACTGTATTCCATATGACGAGAACCTAGTGAAAGCCTAACCAGATAAGAAAATAAAATATATGGACCTGGCTCACGTGGTGACCGACATGTGAGGTGGTATGCCGATCGAAATTATTCCTGTAGTCGTCTCTGCGAATGGGTTAATCCAGGTCAGCCTCTCGGGTCATCTGAGGTGACTGGGACTCCGTAACGGACCGCTCCGGGCTCAAATGCAGAAGGCGATGCTCCTCGATACCGCCCGCATCATCCGCCGGTTTCTTTCCCTTTCCCCCTAACCCTCGGCCGTTTGGTCTCCCGAGCCGAGGGCTCCCAGCTGGTTGGGCTTTTATTTATTTGTGTATTATTTATTTATGTTAGTATATTTAATATATACTTATGTATATTTATCATATCCTTTTATATATTTATTCAGCCCGACCAGATGAGAACACTTAATAAATACCCAATATAATTAACCGTTTGTGTCATCGTTCGTCTATATTTTGTATGATTAAAACAATTTGGTGCTGACCGTAAAACAAAATTACAAACTATTTGAAGCCTGTCATAATTACATTGAAGAATAATAATAATAATGTCCTCCCGACCGAATTTCGGCCACGGCGGCCTGCCTCAACGGAGACTAGCCATCGGCGCAGGACAGGATTATAGTGCCCAAGTGTATGCGCAAGCACAGGTGCACTCTCTATACCCTCACTCTCATAATCCGATGGGACGGTATAAACCGACACGACCGGAGAGAGATCAGGCGCAGGACCAACGGCTTTACGTGCTTTCCGAGGCACGGGGGTGAGACACCGCCAACTTCCTGACTCCGGGCAACTACTGAGAATTTCTTGACGGAAAAACTTAATATGTAATTAATTTTTTGGCCCGACCCGGGATTCGAACCCGGGACCTCATGATCAGCAGTCTCACTACTACAACCACTAGACTAACGAGGCAGTCACATTGAAGAGTATTCCGCTTGCCAATGCTTATCAACTCTGGTTTCTCTAAATGTTTTGAGCAATTTGTGAGAACTCGAGCTTACAACTCTATCTTTAAGTATTGCAATATGCGTAGGTATTTCTAATTTGAATAATATGTTTTATTATATTTTAGTATTTATGAATATCAACATTTTCTTTATTAATTATTTATTATTTTACCTATAATTTTATTTTATTTTATGTTATAAATATATTTTTACTATAATATTTTATTTTACTAAAAATCTTACGTAATCTATTATTAGCATGTCGACCCAGTGGTAGTTTGTGAAAACCATGTGTGGAAAAAATCATATCAGGCCCTCACGACACATCCATGCCTAGTGTGACCACAGAACTATGCACCCTAGTTTATATACTCCAGTTGAGTTGGTGTGATCGTACTTCCAAATTATTATCTTATATTTTATATTTTTAATCTGTGTGGCTAAGCTGTATAAATAAACATTTTTGCATTTTCATTCATACTTGAAATAATAGTTTTGTATGGGGTTAGATCCTTTTGGCGTAACTATGTTTATGTAAAGTAAATAAAATTCTATGCTGTTTAAGTTGTTCATTGGCACGCCATGGCCATCATAGATATTTTTATAGAAAATTGGCAGATAAATAAAAAAGTCACTGTCCTTATGTCTTGGGCCACTGGTAAGCTAATTTAAAAATTTAAGAAACTTCTGCCCCTATTTCACAAAATGACTCTTTCAGATAACGATTCATGGCTAACAGTTTCAACTTTAAATTCAAATGGATTGGTTAAACAGCACGTACGCGTGACGTTGTGGCACCAGCCAGATGACATTCGACGCTCACGCAGGCTGTCAGTTTTACAACAATCACGGTTGTGATTAACGAATAACCTACCGTGTAATGCAGTGATTGACGCCTGCATAAGCGTGTAACGTACGCCTATCAGTCACCATCCGTTTTTTATTAATCATGATTGATGGAATTGATTTATGCCTGCATGCGCGTGTAATGTAGGCCTAATGCTATAAATACCTATAAATAAGTCCTGTGACTTGATGTTCAGATATGTATTTCCCATTTATTTTTAATTTATAGAGTTAAGTAGAATGTCATCTTGGCTAATCCCGCATTTGTTTTATAACGTGGTGAGACGTCTCTCACATAGCTTCATATATACACATATATGTATATACTTTAATACGCTATGCGCACGTGCTGCACACTCATTTGGTGTAATCTGGTCTTAAGTGTATTATTAGGGTGCTATTACACTTGGGTGTAATGTTTATTACCAATGTCCTAACATCAGTGATGATTTTAATGTTACGTTAGACATTTTATTATAAATTAATATAATTAAAATTAACCAGTCAAATACCATTTAGGAAGATACCTAAATAACTAAATCATTATTTACGTTTCTTCTTACCTTTTTTGGTATGATATCAGTTGTAAGAGGGATTATTTCTTAACACGTTACTTGTCAATATTATTTGAATCGTTTAAATAGAATAGTTTAGCTCGATCTGAGTATTGGTTAAATACTATAATAAAAAAAGAAACTAGATGACGCAGGTTAGCACTCGGATATATTTTACTATTTAATAGAACCTCGAAGAATAATATAGTATTATTAAACATTGATTAAAAAGCTAAAGAATTTATACGCAAAACTTAAAACACATTGTTAGACACATTGAATAGACTGGCCAATTAATTTTACCAACTCCTATAGCCCAAGTGTAAACGCACCTTAAGCTTGCACTAAAAATTTCACATGCCTTTTTCGTTTGCACCGCTTGATCCACATGCTTGTTTGTTTGCTACGCATGGCTTTTCAGAGTGGCGGTACCGACTTCCACTGTTGTGTCCAGCGAACAATATTCTTCTTGTAAGTTTCATGCTTTTTTTTCCTTACTAACATGACACCACCATAACTTCATGATCGTGCCTTAAGCAGTCCACTGCTGCACTTAGGATCATCCCACATATCAGAAGAGGGGGGGTGGGGATTTGCCCTAATTTCTATGCCTTGCAAAATTGTTGAGTGATATAGTGTAGAGTATGTATTGTATAGTGATATGAGTGATAGTGATATGAGTGTGAGTAGTGTATAGTGATAGCAGCTTGTGTGTTTCTATCTTAGATCTAAGAGTATTCTAAATTAAATAAGTTTATAGAGTCGACTTACGACGTGAATGGTACAAAATTCGGTAACATTAACCCCCCCCCCTCCCTGCCCTCAAATTTTAATTTAAACATAAATCATTAGAAATAGAACATAATTTAGTTGCGCTTGCCCATTTGTGATAAGCATCGTCGTGTGCAAAACACGAAATAAAATAAGCAGAAAAACGTTTTGAATCTTAATATTAATGTGTTAAGGTTCAAATTAATATTGATATATTATCTTATTTATTAATGTGAGAGTGAATTGTATATATACCCCGATATTAGTGTTCATGATATCTATGGACTTCAGCAAATGACTTCCCACCTTACTTCGAAACGATAATTTCACCCTTCTTTCTCTCTCTTTCTCTTACTCACTCTCGTTTTCTCTCTCTTACTCTCTTTTTCTCTATCTCTCTCTCTCTCTCTTTCTCACTCTCTCTCACACTTGATGAGCCACGCTGCAGCTGTATTAGTCTAAGCACGAATGGGTCGGCTTAACCGGGGTAGGAGCACGCTCTCACAGAATACCAGCGTGAAATAGCAGCTAAAGGCTGTTATGTTTCGTATGGTGAGTGTAGAGAACCGGAGACCGGATACTGGATAGAGAATGGAAGACCCAAGTAAGTCACGCACTTCTGACGCTGCACCCCGTCGCAAATCTCTATCTACATCTTTCATATACGATATGATATAAGGCCAACTATCGGTGGTCACGAGTCCTTTTTGACCTTCCCCTTAGTCGTTACTTACGATACTGAATAGGGTAACTGACCACGGTACTAAATAGGGTGATGGGTTATCTAACACTGCCACAATATGGCCTATTTGTCAAATTAAAAGAGTAAAATGTTCATTTCGTACAACTAAAAAATTGTCATTCTTCAGCCATTTTCTTTATCTGTCCTTAAACAATCCACAGTCCAGCTCGTTCAACAGGATATTTATGATGATTTACCTTAATCGCCACCGATCAAAATTCCAGACATTTGGTACGTGGTAGTTTTTTTATTTATACGTGAAAGAGCCACGCTGTAGCTATTATGGTTGTAGCATGAATGGGCCGGCCCGACCGGGGAAGGACCACGCTCACACAGAATACCAGCGTAAAATAGCAGCTTAATGATGCTGTGTTTCGTATGGCAGTGTGAACCAGACCCGTTTTACTGGAATCGAGGCATGCCATCTTAGTTCTCAAGAAGTGCCAACGCATCCGTATTTTTATTCTTAATCGAGTATAAATGTAGATGTCTATGGGCCATAGCATCTACTTACCATCAGGTGGACTGTGTGCTCGTTTGTTACCTTATACCATAAAAAAAAACATTTCGACCTTAGTTATTGATCAAATTTGGGTCGACGATTTAATTTCGTCCAACACAGCTGCAGGAAATAAATATTATTCTATTGGAGATTGGAAATTCAATATTACTTTTCATTACGCGTTCATTACAAACTATCAAGTCATACACGTCTGCTTATTATAGGCTTCCCGGCAGTAGCCGGAAAGCTGTGGCAGCTCTTGAATGGCAGTTTTTTTTTAATTATTTTGAGTTTATTTTTATAGAATAAGTGTGACAAACGAGCACACAGTCCACCTGATGGCAAGTGGATGCTGTGGCCCATAAACATCTACATTTATCCTCGATTAAGAATCTAAACGCAGATGCGTTTCCACCCATGAGGACTAAGATGGAATGCCTTGTTTACAGTAAAAAAGTGTCTCCGGATCTCTTTACTCACCATACAAAACACAACAGTGTTAAGCTGCTATTTTACGCTGGTATTCTGTGAGAGTGTGGTCCTTCCCCGGTTGAGCAGACCCATTCATGCTACAACCATAATATAGCTGCAGCGTGGCTCTACCGCGTATAAAAGTTATCTGGATGATGCTGCTGCCCATCTTCTGCTTAAGTTTGTCTCTGTCGCCTCTTCAGCACCAACAGGATGATGATATGAGATAGTCGATTATCTTTCGCAGTCACTACACGGCACCTCACTCCACACACTTCAATGGAGTCAAATTGAGGCGTTATTAAGGTGGTTTCTCTCAAAGATTTAAATAGTTAGATGCGCCCTTACCATAGTATGACCACTCCGAAATGTGTCCATTCTCAAATGTGTGAGCTCACTCATTCGCAATCAGTGCTCGTTTGTGCGACAGAGAGAGTAATATACACAATTACTGTAAGACAATAAGAGATGACACTATTGCATTAGTGTGCGCACTTCGGCGTCTTGCAAACGAACACATCCCAAAATAATGCCACAGTTTACAAGGTGAGGGCGCATCTAACTATTTAAATCTTTGGTTTCTCTCCCACTTATCAGATTTTGTGCGTGATACAGTCTATCGGCTTTTACGAACGTTAGGGTTAAAGTAGATAATGTTAACTTCTCTTAGCCACCATCACATAATAAAAAATAATTAGTTACTAATATTTTTAGCGCTAGTGGCGGATAGTCAGTACAGAAATGACAGTGATGAGAATTTACCGCGTCTGACGGAGCTCCTCGGATCTCCAGAACAGAACACGCATCGAAACGATTACGTGTATAATGAAGGTAATATTTATTTTATTTTTCATTTTATTTATTTACATTTGGGGTTGAGAGGATTGTGAAGCTGTAAATTTTCATACAAAAAGAGAACGTTTTCCCTTCCGTATACATAGTCTAATTTTCATATTTTTTAGAAATGTTTTAGATATAAAGAAAAACTAGGTCCGTATGATTTATTTTAAGGAAATATTGCGTACGATATAAGTTGTTAGCATCTAGATATTTATATTTTTGTCTTAAAAACTTCTAACTTTTTTTTAACTAAATTGAATAACTAAAAAAGTAAAACGTACAGACCTAAATTAAGGGGAAATATAATGTCAAATGGCTTAGCAAGATCCTTCGTTATGCCGAAAATATTGCAGCATTAATTTTGAAATAAATATATGGTAAAGTTGAGGATTATAGTTAGTGATTATGTTAGACGAAAACACGATTTCGTAAAATTTTCTCGATAGAAAAAAAATCCAAAGTTACCTCCAAAATAAACAATAAACCGCTGTTCTTCATAAAATACTTTAAATAAGATCATGAAACTTTGCATACTAACTGAACTAACTATAAAGCAGTGCTTATGTTATTTACTTTTTTTTAAATACCATTATTTTCACTGTAAAAAGAAATTACCTAAACTATCGGCGTCTTGAGCTTGATTCCTGTCGTTCCGTTAGTATCGCTTAGGCTTTTGAAGGGAGAAGTTGTGTCGCTTACGATCAGAATATACATTACGCAACAGTACGACGTAAAATTAAAATGGGAAATAACCGTGATAAAAATAGGAAGCGGCTGGCTTGGCATTAAGAAACAGGCATAAATATGATAAACCTAATGAAATAAGTGTCTAACGACCTTCCTACTTACAGTATTAGTGATTACAAATATTTCGGTACATAGCATACGACGCGCGGGGAAGTGGGGGCGAAATTAGAATTTGAGCTGACTTACTCTAACCTCTTAAGGTATACTGAATCTAATGCCACCAAAATTGTCTCATTTCGTAAAGGTTTAGGGGGGTGAAAACGTTATCGCTCGAAACAATATTTTAAAAAGAAAATGTAGGCAATTACTTCCAACATTTGCAACTCTCTATCGTACAACGACGATACGGAGCGAGCGATGTGAAACAGATAGATTTTAAAAAATACCTACTCGCGCCAGTTATCATCGGCATTTCTCTATCTTCTTAATCTCTTTGGTTGCCCTTTGGCTTTTATTTTCTCACTATGAAGATTATGTATGCAGAGAGACAGGGAATTAATATTTAAATATATTCAAGAGGACAATACATTGTTTTCATTGCAAAAATTACTTTTTTTAGTGGTGATTGCTGGTGAAGGATACAGTGTTTAGGTTCTCTGTGACAGATTCTGACACTATCGCAACATCTGTATTCTAATAACAGCAACAATGGATTCTCTCGTGGTTCTCCCACGCTATCAAATTAGGCTGCCTAAAGCCTACCGGCCGCGTGACACCTTTACTTTATTTGAAAAAAAAAAACACAAATATGATGACAGAGCGAATTTGTCAATAAACCTAACCCTAGTTTTATCATGGTAGCAACATCATCACAATTAAAAGTATCACTTTTCAGAGCTTAGTACTTCAGCGTCATCAATGGACACGTCACAATCGCAAGTTCTGGGCGCTTGTGTGACAATACCCGAAATGGTAGAAGATGCTCTTGAGATCATCAGCCAAGATGGCGTAAGTGTTTTTTTAATCAGAATAATTTGTGTTTCACTTCGTTTGCGTAGAATTAGGGAGTATAATATAAGATGTCAAATGTCTGGAGCATGTGAGTACTGCTAGGCAGCAGTGGCTTAGCAATGAGTTGCAGCGTTGGAGGCCGCGGGTTCGGTTCCCGCACGGTACAAGTATACTGGGGTCTGGATTCAAGGGTCTGGATGTTTGTCCCCTTGTGGAAGTTATATTTGTAAACTGCCTCCACGATACAGGACAAGATCCTAATGTGGGGGTAATGTTTTATTTAAATATATATATATATATATATATATATATATATATATATATATATATATATATATATATATATAAAGAAGAGTTTTCCATAACCAAGTGGTAAAATTAAACATTTTGTACAACCAACTTCAATAGCAATAAAATTAGAACATCATCAATGTAGTCGAAGTCAATTAAATACGCATTATTAAGGATAACTCAAAAACTACTTTCTAACTCTTTCTAACGTTTTAACCTTTGTCAAATTTATATAAGACAAGAAAAAAGAATCATCACAAGCGGTTCACATAGAAAAAAGTTCTGATGTAACACACATAAAAAATATGGAAATTGATGATCCTCCTTTTTTAAGTCGGTTTAAAATAGCATACATAAACACTCACGGCCGGCATTCAGGGAAGTAGGCAGAAACTGCGGACTTCCATTTGGCACCATGCTGACACACCTCTCGTCTCCTTTACATCTATCTATACACGCATACATGGTCGGCACTTAAGGTTACTCTTAATTTGGTAACTGCAGCTTTTTATTATTAAGTTGTTATCACAAAGATGCCGCTGCCCATCTTCTGTTTTCCTTTCCCTCTGTCGTCAATTACCACACCCAAGGGATGACTCGGGATAGTGAATTCTCCTGCGCCATCACTACGTCAGGCCTAAGGTTACTCACACATCAAAAGTCTGTGATTACTGGCACCTCTCTATCACTGACACTTCTTTCTTATTTATATAAGAAGGGAGCATTCAAGCATGTGGCTCATTTGATGGTAAGCGACTGCCGCCGGCCGTGAACAACTGCATTACTAGGGGAATTGCAGGTGCGTTGACGACCATTTAAAAAAAAGGTCCTACGGAACCGCACAGCAGTAAACCGCCAAGCATCCAGATAATGAGGATGCTAACGTCACCGACCGGTTATAGGCAACGCCACGAGTCATGAAAGTGCGATAAACAGGTGTCGGCACGGTGAGGTGTGAGGTACGGCGAAGCGAAAACATAGCAACGGGCGACGCGCTACTCCCAAGTAGTTTCCCCCTGCGTCCCGTCGCCCGCGCATCTTCTTGTGTCCTCTTGTGTACTATCGATATCGAAAGTGTTAGTGACTACCTGTTATAATTTTTTTTATTTTTGCGATTATTTTTGTACTTTTAAAAATATTGTTCTATAATATTTTCAAATAGTGTGCAAATATTTATTACTTTGTAAATTATTATGGTACTATTTAAAATAGCGTAATTCGTAGTAAAGTTGTAAACTTTTTTTACAAGATTTTTTTTGTAAATTATTGCATGTAAAATATCCTTATAATCGAAGGCTAACGCATGGTATAGTTTAATCAGCAATTACAAATACAAAATATTTTATTTCTTTAACTAAGTGTACATAAATACAGAATATTATTTAGAAGCAGTTAAAACTTTGACGTGTAGTTATAATGTCGACCTTTGACTTTTTACATATTAAAATGCCATAGTAAAATTTTCATTTTTCTGATTGATTGTACATGCGCAGTGGACGCTATTTAATTTTATCTTTCGTGGAGCGACCTATACCATTCGCGAAGCAACGCATACGCAAGCGCCCCTCAGTGAGCGAACAACTGAATTTGGAGCGCACGTCTCTCTCATATAAAGTTCTCGATGTTTATTTTAAAACGTATCCAAATAAATTGTTTAGGATCCCAACAATTGCGAAGGTCAATTCGAGGTCGGAGGGCCAGTAAAACGTTAATATCCATAGGAAATTATGTAGTTACTTATGATGAATATGAGAGTTAAATATATGTGTAAACTAGCTGTTCCCCGCGACTTCGTCCGCGTGGAATTTATTACGAATAATTTTCGCAGAAATTTAGTTATTTTCTTAAATAAAATTAGCCTATGTTACTCCTTATATCATCATCTATCTGCCAGTGAAAGTCCCGTCAAAATAGATCCAGCTGTTTCGGAGATAAGCCGGAACAAACAGACAGACAGAAATTTTAAAAATTGTTTTTTGTTATAAATACCGTATATACTTTCATATGCATTGAGTATAAAGCTGTTACTTTGACATTACAAACTGACATTACAATTTTATTTATTTGTATAGATAAGGGAAGGAAGTTAAATTTTTCTTTATAGTTGAGAATTTTTTCCGATTTTATTGAATAGCAACCCACATGACTTAAATTACTCATAATGTGAATTGAATAAAAACTTATGCTATTCTTTATATACACTTATTTTATTATATACTGCCACAAAGTTACGATAAGGTAAAATGTTTGCATTAAATATTTAGTTCATTGCGTTACATTCTATAGTTTATTGTCAAAAAACAACAATTTATTGCAATATTATCTTGATTTCAGGACTATATGGAGCGCATAGAAATGGACATAAGAGTACAATGCATCCTTTGCTCTTGGGCTGGACCCAAGATTATGCTGGAAAATCATATAAGAAAGGTATTTGTTTCCTAAACTAAATTATCTGTCTAAATAGAAACCATAATTGAAATAAAACTAGTTTTTAAGACTTTTATCGCGTATATTGCATCTGCTTGGGATCCTATAATAAAAAAATAAAATCCCAACCCAAGCATACAACTGCAAGACTTCAAAATACTATAAGTTCATACCGCGTACATCGGAACAAAAATTAATAATTTTAATATGGGACGTCCACCTCAGTCGCCTTCCCCCCCCCTCTCCCCCCCTTCGACCGTGAGTGCTGTCAAGTGCTCGAAACGTCAGGAATATAAAATAGGTTAATATACGCGATAAAATCCGTAAAAATTTGATTTATTTAAATGCGTTGTGTTCGCGTAAATATTAGAAATCATTATAGAATCTATAAGTTATACATTTTACCCCTCGGCAGCTATGGCAAATATCCCCTTTTTTATAGGATAGGGTGACAAACTAGCACATAGTCCACCTGAAGGTAAGTGGTTGCTGCGACTCATAGACATCTACATCTATCCTAGATTACAAGTCAAAATGCAGATGCGTTGTCACCGTGAGGGCTAAGATGGAATGCCTCGTTTCAAGTAAAAAGGTTCTCCGGTTCCCTACACTCACCATAACGAAACACAGCAGCATTACGCTACTATTTCACGTTGGTATTCTGTGAGAGCGTGGTCCTTCCCCGGTCGAGCCGACCCATTCGAGCTACAACTATACTATTAATATTCACTGCAGCATGGCTCTACCACGTATAAATAGCATGCTGTATAGACCATAATCATATATAATACACGTATGATATATGATTATGGTCTATGCAGAAGTCATACACTGTTATAAATATATGAAAAAAATACACTTGTTCTACTGCATGGGTGCTTGTTAGCGAACACATCATGTCCTCCAACTTCTCTTTACTTCCTAGACGTAGCCTATGTTAAGCGGGTGTTTAATTAATATGTCCATCTTCAATGTACCTTAACCAAATGCAAATATTTCATTTCATTTTCAATTGCCTAACATAGGCATGTCATTGTGGTATGCTATAATGATAATGAACTAATAGACGTCAGGACACAACTAGGATGCATTTTTTAAACTGTAAACATAACCTACTGCAAATCACTCGTACAACATAGAGGACCATGGTTAACAGTACTCTTATGGGCGGTTAAAAATGAAAACTGAAAAATCTTAACAATGGAACCATCTCAGTGTCTATCTGTATGTCAGAGATTTTTCTTGGCAAGACTATTTCAAGTAGAATGAATTTAACATAGTTATAAAATGTAAGTATGAGCATAAAAATTCGGATTTTCGACTCCAAACAGTTTAACATTTCTTTACAGTTAAAATTACAACCTATATGTGTATTGCTGAAAGATTTTTAGGGCCTTGCCTTGGGGTTGCTCGCGTACTGTGAAATTTACAGCGAGCTATTAGCCCCTGAGCTACCACGGCGCTGTATTTATTTACACGGTTCCAAAAAAAAACTTTACACGGTTTCAAAAACCATTTGAAACGTTAAAAAGCGTTACACAATAAAACTAAAAAATTGCTATCGAAAACATTAATTGGTACAATCTTAAAAAAAGACACCGAATTTGAAAAATAGGCTTAGATAGAAATAAAATATCTAAATTTGTTCGACGTTAGACATTGAAATTTAGTATAAAATTGAGTCAGAATTGAGAATACGTTAGTTTCTAGTGCAATTAATCTAAATAAATCTAATACAAAAATTTTAATCTTAAGTTCAAATATATAAATAATGATATACCGTTATTGCAGTTTTCGAAAATACGAGTAAACAAGGCTTCTAATTTTGTTTGAAATTATCCCAAATTGAATGTGATTTATGGGCAACAAAGTTTTTGCCTACCGATCGACCCTTATGATTATGATTTCACTACGCATGCACACATTCGATGCGTGCGTAGTTAAATCAGTTAAAATCATAGAATACTATAATACACAATAGAATGGCTGTCAACCTTATTTTGTAGTTTGACGATAGGCGTCGCCGGGAGCACACATACAACCAATTACGTCGTATTATCAGTTAATCACTACTACAAACCCGATTCGCTGTGTTGACGGATGGATTTTAAAACACATTTATTTGGGGATAAGTAGCTTGCAATTTGGCATTTTCTAAATAATTTGCATGCGAAATTTGGTAACGATTGTAACGTCAAAACACATCTCGTGTTGACATTATACGTGTGAATTGACGTGTTACTGACATTTTAGTGGCTACACGGGCTCCGCCCACACCACCGTTCTATTATGTATGTATTCTATGGTTAAAGCAATGCATAACCACACATTTTGAATTTAAAAGATAAAAAGAACATAATGTTTGAGATTTTACTTCATCATTTTGCCTATTTTACTTATTCTGAACCTTCTCTGCAAATCTGGCCGGTTATTGCATAATAAACTTGCACTGGCTCGTCACTCCATCTTGTGGGGGCTAGTCCAAAACGAGTGCTTGCCAGTACGAGACTGCCACTCAAGAACCTGGGGGAACCAATGGGGATGAACCCCATCGGTTATTAGTTCTTCGAACTATATGACCAACCCATTGCCACTTCAACTCTTTTTTATAGAAGAGGGAGCAAATGAGCATATGGTTCACCTAATGTTAAGTGACTACCGCTGCCCATGAACATCCGCAACACCAGAAGAATTGCAGGTGCGTTGCCGACCCTTTAGAAAGGAGTAAGCAAGCTCTTTTCTTGAAGGTCCACAGGTCGTTTCGGTCCGGAAAAATTGCCGGTGGTAAACTATTCCACAGAGAGGTCGTACGAGGAAGAAAACTCCTAGTGAAACGTACAGTGGTGGACCGCCTAGTATCCAGATGGTGTGGATGGTATCGGGAGGTTACTGATTCTGCTGGGTTATGTCAGTTACTATCTTGCGGGTAACCTCGTAACGGACTTTATCTTGCAGAAAAATTACATAATTCATTTTTTTTGTTCCAGGAGCATTCAAGCCAAATCGACAAACAGTGTAAAAACGAATGGAATATTACATTCACTTTAGGAAGCCTGGTGCAATGCCAGTTTTGGCTCAGTCAAGTTATAGAATACGATTCTATGCTTTATGTTCTAAGCGCTAAGTATGAAGATCCTGATTGTTTTATGGCCTCTTTATCTGTAAGTATCTTTGATTTTGTTAGTCTTTATATAGAGCTAAACGTTTTTTGTTCTTAACTAATCCGGACATAACTTTATAATAATGATGCATAAAAGATCCAACCCACTCTCAGGTACAAAATTTGTTATCTACAATATGTAACGTAATTCACGCACACCCTCAGACACCCCAATTAGTATATTATGTTATAATCATAATACATACACTGAATTTTTAGTTAAAAAATTTTATGCACTGATTATTTATCAAATTAGTTATACTGCGATAGAAGCGACAGTAGCCTAATGGCAGGGCGCGGATCGCGAACTCAAAAGGTCGTGGGTTCGAATCCGCCATTTGACTACTGTCGTGAATCACTCATAACACAAGCATTTTCAAGCTTACCAGGAGTTGTTACAAGGAATATTAGTAATGTTCATTAATAAGATTACTAATATTTAAAAAAAATACTAATTCCGGAAGAATGTTGTGGTCACAGTACAAATCCACGAACAAAGACTTTAACGTGCTTGAAATAAAGTTCATTTTTCTTTGTTTTTATTGAATGACAGAATTAGTAATCCATACTAATAAAATGCGAAAGTAACTCTGTCTGTCTGTCTGTCTGTCTGTCTGCTCCTCTTTCACGCCTAAACGGCTGAACGGATTTTGATGAAATTTGGTATGGTGATAGATGATAACCTAGAAATGGTCATAGGCTATAAATAATCACGCCATCGTTCTTAGGGGGTAGGCAGTAGGCAGATAACTAAATTGAGTTAGTGATTTTTAGTCGTTTTTGTTGGGACTTTTGCTCTTTCACGTATAAAAGGCTGAACAGATCTGTAAGGTAATAGATGGTTACCTAAAAACGGATATAAGATCAAAATGATCACGTCATAGTACTTAGGGGGTAGGAAGTAGGCAGAAAACTGAATTGAGTTAGTGATTTTTTTATGGTTTTTGGTGGGAATTTTGCTCTATCATGCCTAAACGGCTGAACGGATTTTGATGAAATTTAGTTAGGTGATAGATAGTAACCTAGAAAAGGATATGGGCTATTAATATTCATGCTATCGTACTTAAGGCGTAGGCAGTAGGCAGAAAACTAATTAAGTTAGTGATTTTTAATAGTTTGGTTTAAAAGTTTACCTCATTCACGCCTTAACGTCTGAACGGATTTTTATAAGACTTGGTTAATATAAAGATAGGATCCTAGACACGGACACAGGCTACTTCTTACGGCGGGAAAATACCTCATTCCCGCGGAAATCTAGCGTGATCGTGTCAAGAAGCGAATGACGCCATAGCTACTGAAATGATTTTGATGTTTTTTTTTAAATGAGTGTTACTAAGACTTAAAGTTAGTATTTGATCACTTTTCTAACTTAGAGGGTCGGTAGGCGCCATAATTTAGGGAATTTATTATAAAATTTTGATGCATCTGTCTTTATTTAACAGTTTTACTTGGATCGAAACTTAGCGACATACCATCACACTACTTAACTTATAGGGTAGGAAGGTACCAAAATTCAGACTACTTTTTACTTCGGGAAAATATCTCATTCCCACAGGAACCTATACACAGCTACCTATCTACAACATTAAAACTCTGTCTAGAATCACATTACGCCATAGCTATTGATCTGATTTGTATACGATTTTTTATTCAACTGACTGTTAAATTACATACAGATAAAATCTAATTACCTACACCACAGAATTAATATAGTACTACATAACTAGCTACGCTTTAAACTTGAGGAGGTAATTAGATAGACATTTATACGAACTTTATGCTCAGTAATCAATCATAGTGATAAGTTAATACTCATTTTAGACAAAGAAACGGATAGGTAATCAGTTCATCACCGAAATTATAACACCTACACTTAGTTTGTTTACTATTCAACGAGGGAAAATAATTCAATATAACGCAAACCTTCAAATCATACGTCGTCGTAGTGAATACAAGACGCTGCGCCGAGCGAAGAGGCGGTGCGGCGCGAGGGGGAGGGCCGTGCCCAACTGTGCCTACCCAAGCGGGCAGACGCACGAGGGCAGACGTCGTCGTCGCACGTATGCGAATATTGAAATATTGCGTTACGAAACTCTATTCGTTGCGTATTTTTGGTTAGCTAAAAACGTTCTTTTTAAATTCAGAGTTGAAATAGGTACTACGGTCTACGCGTAGGGTCTGTAAGCTTTAATTTAGTCCTTTGTTTTAGATATCTAAATAAATATTTGGTAGGTTATTATTTTTGAGTCCAAGTTGACGTCATTTTCGTATTTTTATTAAGTACTTAGTTACATTTTTATTATTAGGTAGTTAAGGTAGCTGTTAGATGTAGGTATTTTCTTAACCAATCATTCATATCTCTAGGTTTACTCAGATACGTATTATTCTTTATTTTTGCAGTCGCTTTCATTTGTTAATTCTCAATTTAATTCATGTGTAGGTTAAGTGTTTTTTAGCTCACATCAGGATGTTTATAGTTCGTAGTAAATTAGTTTAGTAATAGATTTTGTCATTATATTATAGTACTTTTATGTTAGTTTTGATAGATAAGTAGGTAGTACCAGTAGTGAAGAAAATTGTGTATTGTGGTGTGGTACATAAATTCAATATTTTTGAATTTATTTAGTTAATTTAGGTTTTAGGTATAAAAGGTTTGTCAGGTGCATAGTTGTTTCGGTTCAATACGTTATTGATTGATTTAGATATTTAGGTTATAAGTAAAAAAGTTTGCTTTATCGAAGTTTTTATAAAAAAATTGTCTTACGTTGTAGTTTTTAAAACTACCGATTTTACAAATCTTTAATTATTGTTTTATTGTTTTCGATATGCCACGCAAACGTAAATCCAATCTAAGCCGTAGTTCTAGCAGAGCTCGAACTGCAAAAGTTGCTAGAAGCCAAGAATCTGAAGAGCAGACTCAGACGCGTCAGATGTTAGATTCTCAGCGTCATGCGACTCAAAGAGCTTCTGAGACCTATACGCAGACTCAAGCCCGTAGGACCTTAGATGCTGAGCGCCACGCATCTCAAAGGGCCTCTGAGACGTTTACACAGACTCAAGCCCGTCAGGCCCTAGATGCTGAACGCCACGCATCTCAAAGAGCCTCTGAGACGTTTACGCAGACTGAGACCCGTCAGGCCCTGGATGCTGAACGCCACGCATCTCAAAGCGCCTCTGAGACCTATACGCAGACTCAAGCCCGACAAACCTTAGATGCTGAGCGCCACGCATTTCAAAGGGCCTCTGAGACGTTTACGCAGACTCAGGCCCGTCAGACCCTGGATGCTGAACGCCACGCATCTCAAAGAGCTGCTGAGACAGTGGAACAGACTCAGACACGTCGAGTTTTAGATGCCGAACGTCACGCGCAATTGATTGCGGCAGAGACTGACGAAGATTCACAAAGACGACGTCTTTTAAATGCTGAACGGCAGGCAGAAAGAAGACGTACGTTTTCAATGAGTACGTGGGAGGCATTTAATGGTGCCGCTTTTGAGTATGACCCTTTGATCGACTATGTTAATCACCGATTGGTTATCATTGGGAGAATGGATAAAAAATGCAGATATTGTGAAGCACTGAAATGGAAAGAAGAAACTCCAGGTATGTGCTGTTCTGGTGGAAAGGTTAAAATTCCATTACTTGGCGAACCAGAGGAACCTCTTAAATCTTTACTTTTATACGACAGTAACGAATCGCGCCGGTTTTTAAGCAGGATTAGAAAGTATAATTCTTGCTTTCAGATGACGTCATTTGGTGTAGATAAGGAGGTCGTAATGCCTGGATTTTCACCTACTTTTACCATCCAAGGACAGGTGTATCACAGGATTGGTTCCTTACTTCCCGCAAATAATGAACAACCAAAGTTTTTGCAACTTTATTTCATGGGCGATGAAAAAAACGAAGCTGATCGCAGGTGTCAAAATATACAAGGAATCGAAAGGGATACTGTTTTAAAAATCCAGAGAATGTTGCATGAACATAATCGCCTTATCAATACTTTCAAAACAGCACTAGAAAGAATGCCGGGAGAGGATTATAGGTTGGTGATGCACCCCGATCGCACACCAAGTGGGGAACATGAAAGGCGGTATAATGCACCGTTAATAAATGAAGTCGCAGCCTTGGTTACAGGCGAACAGTTTGCTTTCCGTGATATAGTTTTACAGGCCCGAGATGACACATTAACCAGGGTGCCTGATACTCATAAATTTTATGATGCGTTGCAATATCCGATCATATTTAGTAAGGGACAAGAGGGGTACCACTTTCAAGTTCCTCAAATTAATCCTGTAACAGGTCTTCCCTTGCATAACAAAAAAGGTTTCATGCATGGATTTTTATGCCTACAACATGATGATACGAGAAAACAACTTTAACATTGTACAAAGATGCAAGCAACTGGCCAATCAGTTTTACGTTGACATGTACGTTAAAGTTGAAAGCGAGAGGTTACGGTACATATCATTAAATCAAACTAAACTAAGAGCAGAGAATTACATCCATCTTCAAGACGCTGTGGCAAATGACGCTAATTTAAATCCAAATAACTTAGGTCGTATGGTCATTTTACCATCTTCATTTGTAAATAGCCCGCGGTACTTACACGAATATACTCAGGACGCGTTTGTTTATGTGCGTACACATGGTCGCCCTGACTTATTCGTCACCTTTACTTGCAACCCAGCCTGGCCCGAAATAGTCAATCAGTTGATGCCGGGGCAAAGCGCAATAGATAGACATGATGTAGTCGCAAGAGTTTTTAGACTAAAAGTTAAAAAACTAATGGATGTGATTAATAAAGGCCGAGTGTTCAGAGAAGTGCGCTGCTTTATGTACTCTGTCGAATGGCAGAAACGTGGACTGCCACATGTCCATATATTATTGTGGTTAAAAGATAAGTTACGACCCGATCAAATAGATAACATAATCAGCGCTGAAATACCGGATCCTAACATTGACAAGACTCTCCATGACATTATTGTAAAAAATATGATTCAC